GTCACCGCCAACCTCAGTGGTGGGAGGGCTGCGAGAGAGAGCGTTTGGCCACATCCCACTGAGCCCTTCCACCAATGACACTGACAGCAATCGCCCGCCCCATCCATCATGCCCGCGATGAACCAGCAAAAAGTTTATTCATACCGGGGTTAGAAACAGAATTGTATGTGGCTGAGTGGCTCGAAATAAGAAGCAGGAAAACCGTTGGAACGATTCAAATAAGGCCTGCAGAGAAAGCAGCGAGAGAGTATGCAAGCGATCAAGACCGCAGATAAAACATCTATCAATGTGGGCGGGGTCACTCGAGCAACCTTGTGCCTTACCGCTGCTACCTCATCACTTTCTGTCGTGGAACCTATACAGGGTTGTTCGCTGCAGTCCACTCTACTTCTCCTACGAAAGGTTTAGAAAACGATGAGTGATCGGCTCTGCCTCGGAGCTTTCTCACACAACTAAGTGCCTACCGAACAAAAAACTTGGTTTATAATGAAATTTGAAACTTCTACACTTGCAGAAAGAATTCCCAGCTAAAATCGCTTACAAGTGTTCGTTTGTGCTCATATTGCTTATGATCCCAATAAGAGCAGCATGTGGTTTGAGTGCTGACCTACTTGTTGTGGACAACGTTTTATCAACAATTATCATACTCTTCACGTCTATACATTACTTGTATTATTGTAGGTAAGTGACAGAACGATCGGTCAGTGCGATGAAGGGAGGCCGTTCAGAGGAAGGAAGCGGCTTAAAGGCGGTGCGCACAATTGCTCAGGCCTGCCGACGTCATTGGTGGAGGGGCTGAGTGGGTGGTTGCCGAACGTCTTCTCACCAATGACGTTGGCAGCAGCCGCACGCCCCCAGCCATCGTCACCACTGCCTTTAAATCATCGCACATACTACTAGCCCTTATAAGAAACCTTTGATCTTTCCTCTCTTCAGGGCAATTAAATTCGTGGGACCATTCGTGCTCATGGTATATACAATTATTGCAACAGATATTCGACGTTTCCTCATGATTTATGGCATTTTCCTAATAGGATTCTCACAAGGTAATCTTCACTTCGAAACTTTCAATTCCTCTATATGGACCATGGGAATCAAAATTATTTCAGCATTCTACTTAGTATTTTTGAGCTGCGAACGGGCCGAAAATACGCAACATTCCAGTACTACAGATCAAGATCGATTCCAGAACGTGATACAGAATCCATTGGAGGCATTTATTCGGACCTTCATTCTAACCATTGGAGAATTCACCGTACTGTATAGGAATCTGGCTATGTGTCCAAGCAAATTATGATATGGATAGGGAAGGTAAAGAACTTGTTCGCATTTGAAGTTTTGCTTGACTAACTGCTGATGGTACGGCCTGAACATAGTTCTTGTCACTTGTCGGCGGCCTCCACAACTTTATCGAGCTAGGTGCACCTTTTAGCGCGCATCTGTGTAGGGTACACGGGATGTGGCAAGTTTCCCCAGTACGACTCCTTTATTTTCTCCACCGGCACTACTCCCAACAATAATTAAGTGAGAAGCACATCTGATCAACAATTAGAACTAGCAAAATTGTCGAGCAGGAGGAAGTACACAGCGCCTTGAAAGAGGAGAAGCTCCGCAGGATCGGAGGCGATGCCCAGCGACCAAACTTCACCCTGCCTCTACATTTGATTTCCACAACCATGATGCATATTGCTCCTGTACGTGGCTGGCGAGGGTGGAGACTGAGCTCACCGGCACTCCGACCGGTGTGGGCATGTAATAGTCGCCACTTGTAGCAGTGTGGTGCTTGTTTGGAAAGTGCGATATCTCAAAATTACTCTTCTCTAAAGCTGCATTCATACTTTGCAACACCGTCCACCAGCGACCACCAGCGTCTATCAGCGACGAGGAGTACAGTATTATGTAGTAGTACGGTGCGGTTGCACACAAGTCACAATTTGACGCCAAATCCAGCGGTCAGCTGCCCTCCTACTTCCCCCTTACTGTCTACTCCTGGTTGTTGATAGGTGCCGGTAGGCGCTCGCTCGACATTCATTCTTTTCTATTCCCTCAAGACGCTGACGGTCGCTGTTGGACGCTGGCTGATGTAGGTAGGCGCTAGATCAGCATCAATACAATATCAATACTGACGGACGCTCGAAACGCTTATGGTAGCTGGTGCGCGCTACCGAAAAGTATGGCTGCGTTTATACTCTGCGGCAGCGTAGCGGCTAATGCCGTTTGGACTCCAGAAATTTCGGCTCCGAGCTCATTTTAAAAGTGGCAAGATCAGCAAATCCGCTAAAAACCAAATCCGCTAGCCCCGCTAGCGTTTGCCAGCGGCTAGAGAGTATAGAGTAAGAGAGTACAAAATACTCTCCTACTCTTCTATACTCTCTAGCCCCGCCGCTGCAAACGCTAGCGAAACGCTAGTGAAACGCTGGAAGCGCTACGCTGCCGCAAAGTATAAACGCAGCCTATGAGCGCTGCCAAAGGGAAGGATTACGAAATAATTGAAGCAGCACCACCATTGATATCGACAGTATACCTCACTTCCTTAAAGTTCGGATAAAGTGCTTACACCCACAGTTTTATATGGTTTTTTAGGCAATTTTCCTTGATCTTCGAGCTCGGCGTATCAATTTTACAGTTTAATCTCCTTATTGCTATGATGACTAGAACCTACGAAACTATTTATCGTACGAGAAAGGAGTACAAGCGACAGGTCTGGATTAATAAAAACTGAAACACGCTTTGAAATACGTTTTCCCATTGTTATTTCTTTTTGGAAAGGTAAAGGCTTCAGAATCGAAAAAGTCTATCTTCTATTGCAGTGGGCTCAGGTCATTTTAATGCTGGAACTTTCACTGGCTCCTAAAGACCGTTTGATGTATCTCCTTGAATATTCGCGTCCAACTGGTACAAATAAGAAGGTCCGGAGTTTTGTGGTCAACAAGTTCTCTAACGTAAGTCGCATTTGAATCGACCTTTTACAGGGTCCGGCAGTGGGGCCGTATCAGATGGGCTGATGCTGCGCTAGCCTATTTTACACCAATTGGTCGCTTGCTCGGCTTCAGCAGTTGGTGAAGAACAAGCTAGCGCCGCTCCAAAGCCAGCCTCCTCCCCCTGATATGCCCCAGCATCCGCAGCAAGGAAGACTATAGAATGACTGAGGTTGTCTGAGCGCTCCATCCCCCTAACTCTGCCAGTACTCGTTATGAGATTGCCAAGAGCCATACATTACATTCTGCTAGAATTTCTGCTAGTCAGGTTTATGAACTATTTGCGCCAACAAGATCGCCAGGTGGAACTCTTCATTGGTGGCCTGACCTTTCGGCCGGAGAGGTCAGATCCACCACTGCTAGAGCGTATAGCCCCAAAGTTAGTTGTGCTAGCAGTTAAGGTCTCTCTTTCGTTCCCGTAGTGTTCCACTGGGCCTTTGATGAAGACGCTCTCGTCGAAACGTCATTACTGAGTTCCAATGTATGTCTTTCACAGATTGAAGGTATGCTCTTATGCACGACATGAGCGCCTATGTACTGTAAGCAAACCAGTACAACTCAGGCTGATTTACTATACTCATGATGATGATCCATTTTTCTTTCACTCTTTCGCTTTCTCATGGCAACAGTTCTAGGGCTAATGGAATAATACTTCAGGAGAATAAATCATCGGAGGAGGTGGCACAAGCTAAAGAAGAGAAAGCGAGGAAGGTAATCGAAGAGCGGAAGGTGTTGCTGAAACGACGATTGAAGGTAATGGTTCCAAAAAAGGCCCCCTTCATATCACCAGAGATTACTTTCATTCATTAGGATATGGAGATTCGCGAAGGAGTTCGTCCCATAACAGGATATGGAAGATCTCCACGACCGTCTACGGTTATGAAACTGAAGGACAATTAGGCGATCTCACATTAATGCTGTGTAATTTTGAAACGGGAATTATCTTTGATTCACCTTGGTAAATATTTCTCGATTAAATTTTTGTGTTATGACAGTAATTACACGTTCAACACTTTGCTCCCGCTGAAGATCTCTTTGCAGAGGAAGTGCTGAAGCTGGAACCTTGAGAGTGACTAGGTCGAGAGGCACTGCTGTTTTAGACAAAACTTGCTTGATACTTGGTATTGCAGACGTGAGCACACATATGATTCAAGGGGAGTGGGGAGGCATAAAAAAAGTCATTGTCCTCCATGAAATTCAAGGCGCTAATAAGTCTACAATTTATTAATTTTTATCGCGGACATTTTTACATACATATTCGAAGAGACCCATTAAATACGCTATAAGGAGTACATCCGCGACGCCTTCTGGAGGTAGAGCGCAATCAAGAGATTGGCCCGCCCGCGAAAGTAGTGGGGATTACCCGGAAGTTGAGCGAGATCGTTGATTTCTCACGCCACGAGGTCGGCACCTGTGGGAAGCTCCCGCCCAAACCGAGTAATCGAAGGGCATAGTTCAGGGCCAGCGAATTGTAAATACTTATATTCTTGTTCCAGAAGTACCTCAACGTTCTCTCATCAAGAAGGCGAAAGTTTTTCAAGCTCCTTTCGTGTATCAATAATGTGATGTACCAATCCTGTAGCAGTACAAAGTTTCCAAGAAGGTACGGGCGACGACATGAAGATGGGATATTCTCCTCGAGTTGCTCGATGTAGCCACCAGCGCACACCCTCAGTTGGGGCCACGAAGAACATATATCGGTTCATCCAATTCCCAAGGTAACGGACTGTCACCATCTACCGCTGCCTTGGTTGAATGGGTTGAAGATGTAGTGTCTGACAGACCGTAGGCGACCGTTTTGCGCGGCTTGCTCGATGTTTGAGGTCTTGAGATCAAGAGCATACTGTTCAAGGTAGACTATCCATGGGTGATTCCATTCAAGAAGTTCCGCAGCTGTTTGGAGGCCACGTGAATTCAAAGGCGTTCTCCACTCAGGCCGCGACTGGAGATGACTTCATATTTTGGTGTACATGGAGAGGTGAATGGTGGCTCCTGCTTACAGAGAAGATCTTGGGTATCTTCCGCCCTAGTACTCATATCCACTTCCTCTGTCTGGGCTGCGAAAACTTCGCTCATATGTGACTGGCCGGAATGACTTTTTGCCCCCACCACTGTTATCGATAATCATCGAGATCGGCGTAGGCGTGCTGCGTACTTGATTTTAAAATCGACGGACCGGTCCAGGTTTTTTGAAGATAATTGTCACTTGGAGCGAGTCTATAATCATGTCTAATAACACAGAACAAGATAGCAGTTGAATTGAAGTATCCCACGAGAAACCCGTCCTATGCCATGCTCAAAAGCCACGCCTACTCCGTCTCAGGGATAAGGAGTGTAAGTTATAGTGAAGCGAAATCACGAGAACCCTAGCTCACAGTATACATGTGATTTGCAACTGTTCAAGGGGACAAAGAAGGTTGACGGAATTCCACAGGTTGCTCTGCTGAACCATTTTTGAACTGTCTTCTTAACTCTGTGCTTGATATCTTGGAGATTCTCTACAGAAGAGCGAAGTGCAAGGCGCGGCGCACTCGAAGAAGGTTCACCAAAGTAGCCGAAGTTGTGTGAAGTAAATTTGAAATTCCGCTTTCTATCCCTTGAAAGTAATAACTTCAAAGTAATTATCTGCATGACCACTCAGCACGAATTCACCATCAAGAGCCTCACAATAATCTTCACACCAACGTAGACCAACCGTGGGATAGGCTCTCAATTTCGCGGCGTCAATTTTTAACCCTATTCGTATTCTTGCTCACCCTCCCATGTCTGCATTCTGCCATTTCCGTCAGAGCACGTCAACGCTCTATAGTGTGCTTGTTTTTCGACAGTCACAGTGTGCAAGCAAAACACGCCACAGACGAACGCGCCGCACGAAGAACCGTACGCGTCAGCTATTCCGTCCCTCGCGCGTGCTCTGGTACATCTGGCTGGGCTGGTTCCCTGTGGGGCGACTTTCTATGCTGAACCTTAGTCGACCAAACTCCGACTCAGCGCGTTTGCAACATGCACGCAAGCTGCACAGCGACGTGCAGTGTTCCGAGCCTTGGTCAATGAAGGCAGTCATGCTTCATGTCAGTGAAGCTGGGTTTGGCGCGCCACCAGCTCACTTTCCACCGATTCTCGAGGCTTAGAAGCGACAACAAATGGTAAAAAACGACTGATACGCCCGATGTGATACAATATTTTCTCTCGTCGAAAGAAAAAGAACGGGCTGGTGACGGGCCAAACCCATTCCTCTTTGACACGCCGGGTCATCCGTAGCGGACTGTACCTCTGTTGCCTTGGCTCCTGAAACCATGGGATTTTCTGCACACCGGAACAATTAACATGTATTAGGTGCACTCTGTATTTTCATCTGTACATATTTACATTACTAAACGTACACCTACACAAATGAATCTAGTACTAAGATCAAACATCAGAAGTTCCAGAGCGTCTGGACATAGAACAACCAAGTAAATTGAGTTTGGTCGTTATAAGAACCCGGATTCGTGGACTAGACAAGGCGTATAATAGTGGATTGAGAGCTGAGCAAAAGTAGTTGAGAAATACGGCCACAGCGTAAACCCAGTCTGATATGCAGTTCCTGAAAAACATATTTTTATAGGACGTAGTGAAATGTGATGATATTTCCAAAAATACAGGCAGTGCTGCTAGCGGATTTGGGCCTAGGAGTGGTTGAGACAAGTTTTTTGCTGGTGGCTGAATTTCAGTTTATGACGGCCGCAATGCCTTGGTCACTTGCGTCGTGAAAGTGGGGCGATCTCTGAGCCAGTGGACCGGTCTACATGGAAAAAATGGAATCCAACGAAGTGGGTGAGCGTGGGTCTGCCGCACGCCAAACTGCGATTGCACCCTTGGCATATGCGGTGCTAGCAGGCCTCCAGCTGTTGAACCGTTAGGCTTTCCCTGTCTCTTGCGCGGGGATGGGGATCTAGGACCGTGATAAGGCTAATTCCTACATACTCCGCCTAAAAAGCAATTTGCGGCGCAGACACACCGCACACCGCTACCCTAACCTGATCGCAACTAAACCGTCCTACAGTTCAGGAGCAACTGTACTGCTCCCGCAATTTCCCTCCAAAGCGGCGCATTCCCACCAACCATGATCTAAGAACGGCCTGAACGTCCTTCTCTTCAATTAAAAACCTTTCGATAGTTCTGGAGCCAGAGCCGCGCCCATCTGATTCAGAGTTTGCGGCACGAGCAAGGCCTCACTTGTCATCCGCATCAGAAGTTTTAACCGTATTTGGGAACGCAAACTACATGACTTGGTGAAGCGCCAGGAGAGCCGCCAGCATAACCTCACTAGTTCCCTCCCCATCGAGCTGTCGAGAGGGCGGAGGAGTATATAGTACAAATGAAACAGGAAAAACCACGAAAAGTCAAGCAACCCTCTTCAGAAGAACAGAAGGAAATACGCCCCCCCTCTCCCAGCGACCGAATACGACCCCCTGTTGGGGAATCCACAACAACGATGTGCCCTGCAGCAACCGGCTGCCACTGTCTTTTCTGTTCGCCTGTCCCCACCCCCCCTTACTGAGATAGAGCTCGTGTGTTGATTCCCTTCTCGTCAGAATGCGCAGGCGAGCAGAAGAAGAAAGTGCAGCTTGGCATCACCTGCCTTATGCCTCTTGGAAACTTTAC